AAATCAATCATTCACGGAAAAGGGTTCATACAGCTCTTCCTAACATACAATCTATGGTTCTTACATACCCAAGTGATAGAGGGGATTACTCCATAGGGAGAGAGGAAAGCTATGTCGGATGTACAAATCATCATGTAGACGAAAGAAATATGCTCCAGGTCGTCAATCATCATTCCTCGAGGCTTGCATCGAGCTCCAATGATGGGAAAACTTGATCTAGGGCACTTAAGGTTCTTTGTTAGTCACTTTCTCTCTCTAAACCAATGCTTTTTGTTTCCAAACTCGAATTGTCTTCGAAAACCCACGTTTGGCTCTAAATAGCTCATGTTTTGCATCACTGGCCTGATAACTCGATCGGGTATTTTAATGCTAGGTCGGGTTTTCCCAAAATGATGTTCATCCACTTACAGTCCCGTGTTCTAATCCCCGGTTTCATGTTCGAATCCCAGATCGGCGATTTAAGGGTCTCGCCCAGGGGTTCCCCTGGAAGACTTCCCCGGGTTGTGATGCCATTTCCCCAGTTGGGGAAATTGTGGTCAGGCCGGGTATTTTGGTCCTTGAGCTCTCCTAGTTATCCAGCTCACGCTTTTGACACGAAACTTGCTCCCAAGCCTGCATAGTTGATCAAGGATCTGAAATACACCATACAAGAACAACCTAGCATGAAATTGGCTTAAAACACAAGAATCGAGCCTCAAACATTGTAAGAACGGTACGCAAAATCATGTGAAAATATCGAGTTATCTATTGGTGGAGGTTCGATTACCGGTTGGTTAAACCGATAACCGGTAGGTTATCCACTAACCGATATAACCAAAATTTGGTTGGGTATCGGAGGCTGGACGGGATGATTTTGATCTTGGAGGTTGTACGATTAACCGATAACTGAGATAACCGAGATAACTGAAGCCTATTTCGGTCAATTGTCGGTTGGGGGGGGGGCAATCTTTTGGTTAACGGATTCAAAAAATTGACCTACCCAAGCCAATTGGAGGGCAAATTTTTCCTCCAATGATCCATTCAAACAACTAGGAAGAGGAAGAGTCACTTTCCCATGTGTTTTTCTTCTAGTTATGGAGTAGTCCATATCTTCACTTGGATGATAGGAACCCTAGTCTAAGATATTGTAGGTTGTGATTTGTGAACTCTATTATGATTTGGTATTATGATTTATATATTGATTGATGTATTTTCATTCAAATTGGGTGTTATTGATTAAATCCTCCAATTTTTGTGCAATTGACCTAGGAGGGAGAAAATCCACTTAGTGCAATTCAGGTCACTCCTCAATCATCATAGAGTGCCATGATCGTTGTGATTTGTGACTCTACGTCATTCTAGTTTAATCTCGAGGGGTAATAACTTATTGTTGTAGTTTCTAGATAACTTGTTGCGACTAAAGTAATGGTATATAGATTTCCTGCGTTGATATTCAAAGTATTTTCATTCAAATTGGGTGTTATTAATTAAATCCTCCAGTTTTTGTGCAATTGACCTAGGAGGGAGAAGACCCACTTAGTGCAATTCGGGTCACTCCTCAATCCTCGTAGAGTGCCATGATCGTTATGATTGGTGACTCTACGTCATTCTAGTTTAATCTTGAGGGTAATAATTGTACGTGGGCACCGGGCCGTGCCGCCCACGGGCTAGCACGACACGACACAGTTAGAGCACGGCACGATCACGGGGACAAAATAATTGGGCCAGCCCAGCACGAGCACGAATAATTTATGGGCCGTGTCGGGCCTAAACTCCATGGGCACGGGCACGGGCACGAGCACGGGCACGAGACGGTATATAAGTGGGCCGTGTCGGGCCTAATATTTTCGAGATTTTATTGAGTATAAGAATGGGCATTGCCCGAAAATAATATTTATTTGATAGAAAATAAATATAAAAAGAATTATAGGTTCAAATATTACAAAACACAAGTAGAAAAATAATTATTTTTTGTTGACTTGTTGTTAGAAGTGTCATAAAGATATATACGTAATTACTAACACAAGTAAAAATGGATAAAGAATTAAACAAAGCAATCACAATCGCTATACTTCCAATTTTCTTTTCCCTCTTATTTGTTACTTTTCTCAAACATTATCTGTTAATACTATCTTCCCCCGTCCAATTTTTACCTTCTTTTTAATTCTCTCTTTTTCGACATTTTCATTACACACGAATACGAGCATGGCACGAGCACGAGCATGAATAGGTAAGACACGATTCGAACCATGCCCGGGCCTGGGCCGGGCCTAGCAAAGTTAACAAATGGGCTTGCATGGCATGTCACGAAAACTGACGCCTGTGCCAAGCACGACACGAAATATATGGGCCCGAAGCGTGCCCGTGCCGTGCCTGCCCAAGCACAACCCCCATGTACAGTAATAACTGAATGCCTTAGTTGCTAGATAACTTGTAGACGACTGAAGTAATGGTATATAGATCGCCCGAGTTGATATTCGAAGTACTTACTATGTGCTACACCCAATTGTAGGTTACACTTGACTTATAATTGAGATTGAGTTGTAGTGATAGCAAGTCAGCCATCAAATTATGGATGTCAAAAAATTGCAAATAATGCAACTCATCAATTTGCTTGTCCATCCCAATCATCTTATTGGAGGGTAAAAGCTACTCAAGAAAATTAATGTGATTGAAAGTTTAGTTGTTTACGTTGAAAGAGAGTAAATTGCATTGAAAATTCGAAACATGAAAAAAATTATGAACACTAATTCAAATGCGAGCTACTTCGTTCCTTCCAAAGCGGTACACAACCCGGTGTAAGTCGGAACCAATATGAGCCAGACATTACTTGTCAAGAACCAAAAAAATGCAGATATAGTTTAATGGTAAAATTTCTCCTTAACTTGATTGGAAAATGGAGCACGACCAACAAAGATTTGTCATTTATTATATGTTCATCTAATCAGAATCAATAAACCAAGATGAGCATTTGAATTGTCTACCCCACCCCCACCCCTCGACCTTTTGTATGACTAGCTCAACAGGAAGACATACAATATGGTTTTATTGCTCATAATTTGTAACCAATTGATATGCTTTAACCAAGCTTGGAATCGATTTCATCATGAGGATTTGAGATTTTACAGTGTTAAAAGTATCGTAATGTCCCATCAAGAAATCTAATAGGATTTCACCTTCTTTTTTCTCACGTTGACGATATTTAACATCGTAAGTACAACCCCTGCATGAGCACTCAAGAAAGCTAAATTCATCCCATTACCCTCATAGTTTTGTGTAATAAAGATGGCACTAGAAAAATTTTCATGTTGTAAGATGCTAATGTAATATATCGAGACATGAGGTGCTACCATGGTCCTAACATGATTGAAGATCTAAAAATTTTCTCCAGCCATTTTTGCAAAACATACATTGCAGTGAATATCGTTGGACATGGTTATTTTAAGGAACCCCTTCAACAACGCGTCACAGATGTATGATATCACAGAGCCACTCTTTATAGTTGGCCTATGTGAGCAGTTCCTGAACAAATAATTTCTAGGGTTATCTGAATGATGGAGCATCAATATAGAAGAGGGAATTTTGAAACCAGAACCATTCCTTGAGCCACTGCCGAAGAAATACAACATCCGATTTAATTTTGTGACGGACGATTATGTGATTGGATATTATGTTTTAACATCATAAAGATATATAGACCAATTACCTTTCAACTAGCAACCAAGAAATCAGTTAATTACAAGACAAACACTATAAATATTTGAATGAGCAAAATAGTGAGTAGTAGGAAACATGAAATATGTTTACAATATCGAGGTGGCGACTACTGTTACAGTTGGCTGAAGATAGTTATTGAGAACAAAGATGATATTGTGCTGGAATTGTGGTGTGTTTTCTAAGTTTCTTTTGGAAAACAACAAAACACTGACCTCTTCAACGACCAAAAATCTCAATGAGCATATGAGATTGTGTCGAGGGCCTGTTATTTCATAAAAGACTATAAAGCTTACCGCACATTGAGAGAGTGTATTGAAAGGGGGACCAGTCCTGGGGGTGGTCGTACGAGGTGATGAAGGCCGGTTTATTCTATTTTTTGTTAGTAACATTTCGGGTAATCAGAAAACTGAAACTGATGAAGCATTAGCAGTTGAGATGGGTGTTCAGCTGGCCCAACAATGTCACAAGTCGAGCAATACACTGGAAACAAATTGCCTGTTTTAGCTTACAAGCTTGAAAAGGTAAGAAAATATCCAATCCAAGACAAGGTTGATATGCAGGAGCATCCGACACCAGCTTGATGGACTATGCAATGCAAAGTGGCGGTATGTACCCCAGGAGGACAATATGACTGCTCATATAATGGCACTCACAAAGACTAGATGGAATGAGACTATAATCTGGTTTGACCATCAATTTATCTTATTGATAAGCTATTATTGGATTGTATAGTCTCGATTCCTTATCAATAGAGTCCTACATGTTTCAGTCAAGAAAAAAACGATAACACTTCACACTTTTCCTATTTTATTTCATCAAAACTCCATATAACGTGTGGTTTCACCTATGTTGATTCAATCTACCAACTGACCTTGAAACCACACTTCCTCTCCATCCTACTCTTACTCATCCACATCATTGCCCTCATCGCCCACCTTCGTTTCTTTCCCAATCTTAATTCGTCTCTGCCACCAATCTCTCTCTGAATCAACATAAATGAGTTAAGTGTTAACGAAGGTTTTACCGAAAATACTAACCAAAGAGTTAATAGTTATTTTTTTGTGTGCATAGTTTAGGTTTAACGTTTGTAGCTCAATGGGTCCTTTGAAAATCGTACATGGTATATTAGAAGGACAAGGGGTCGGTCGAGGGTAGAGGGTTTTATCATGACATGAGGAAAGTGAGCGATGCAATTTTCCCTTTACAACCGGCAATTGGCCTTAGGGAAAAAGAAAGAGCGAGTGACTGAGTGAGAGAAACGGATCAAACAGCCCCAAAGCACACGTACCGGAATGATGCCGATACATGATGAAGTTGGAAGTAAACCCCAGCGAGACTGTCTGTGGCCCACGCAGCATATACTCACATGCGCTTCTTTTTCGATACCCCGCCCTCTTGTTCTTAATTATATTGGGCGGAGATCAGAATATCCATTGTCATTGTACCTTCAGAGATTCTTTCTCACAGATAGATGGCAATTGGCCTCAAACACATTTCGCAAAGATATTTAAAAAAAAAGAAATTCTTTTTTAGCTTTTCTCTCGCTCTCTATTATCAATCATCAAACCCAACTCATCTTTCTCACGCTCACACATCCCGTTCTCTCCCAGGTTTCTTCTTTTTCTTCTGCTCTCCTTCCTATATTATTGTGAAAATCCCATTATGACACTCTCTATAAATCCCACTCTCTCTCCTTTCTCCACAACTACTTGCTCTTCCTCTTCTTCTGCTACTGCTTCACATGCTACTTCTCTTTGCTCTACTACAACCCCTTCCTCCGTTTCCTTCAAAGTTTCGAGCTTTAGGTCACGCAGAGCAAAACCCATCAGCCTATTTGTCAAAGAGATTGGATTAAACAAGTGTTACAGGAGAAAGGGTTGTGTTGTTAGAGCTGAAGAAGGGAGTGGCAGCGGCAGAATGACCATCTCTGAGTACATTAAAGAGGAAGAGAATGGAGAGGAAGAGAATCCTCCCCTTTTGCTAGATTCAGAGACCAATTCCAGGCCCCGTCGGATTGCTCTGTTTGTTGAGCCTTCTCCCTTTGCGTGAGCCTCTCTCCCTCTCTTTTTCTTACCGTCTTAAATTGTTGTGTCTTAAATTGCAAGTTATTTTGAGATTGTGAGACAGACTCTTGGTGTCTCTTGGCATTGACTTTCTTTGATCAGCATTCTATAATTTATGCTCCATGGCCTATTTTTTATATTGTGTGGGCGTGGCGATTGCAATAAGGTGTCTATGGTTTCCAGTATCAGTCCTTAGACAATTTTCTTGTACGGCCAGTCAGCTGTGTAAAGTTTTGGATCTACTTAAGCTGGGGATTTTCCAATGTCGACATGAACTTTCGGTTAATTAATTGCAAGTCGTGAATTCGTCAGTTTGTTGCTTACACCAAATTAAGGTTTAGCTGTTACTCAGCATAGGTTTTTGTGATATCCATGGATTGGCTGGATTGAGTAGACCCTCCAGTTTTTCTGCAGATCGTTATACTGTTTAATTGAAACGTTTAGGAAGACATGGTTCTGGTGCTCTTTATTAGAACTCAAAAATCCTTTCCATATTACCACAAGTTTGGTCCTTCATTGGTTTATAATTCAATGCTGCTCACACTGCCACAAACTTGCCGTTGATTGGATTGGATGACTAATAATTATGAGTACAAGTGATTTCTGCTCCGCAATCCTATGATGTCCTTATTATGTGTGTTCTGAGTTACTGCAACCTGTTTGCTTGATTTTGCAGATATGTCTCAGGGTACAAGAACCGGTTCCAGAATTTTATCAAGTACTTGCGCGAAATGGGGGATGAGGTAATCCTTTTGTTCTTTGAGATAATGTGCTTTGTTTTGGCTAATCAGGATATGACTTCCTATGCTCGAGATATAGTTGAGATCAGGTTTAGTGGCCCGCTGGAAGTTTGGACTTAGGATGTAGTATTTGTGTTCTAATTGTATTTGATAGGGTCTTAGCCTTTTTGGTTATCTTGAATTCTCTTTGCTAGATACCAAATATGTATGAATGATGCAGGTGATGGTGGTGACTACACATGAAGGGGTACCCCAAGAGTTTTATGGTGCGAAATTGATTGGATCGCGAAGGTACCAAGTGATAACGCCATATCAACATTAGGCTATTGTTTTAGATTCTAGCTTTGCATTCTCTGAGATTGAACTAAATCTCCCCTATTATTGGCAGCTTTCCTTGCCCCTGGTATCAGAAAGTACCCTTGTCCCTAGCACTTAGTCCTAGAATAATATCCGAGGTTGCCAGATTCAAGCCGGATATCATACATGCATCATCCCCAGGAATAATGGTTAGTTATATATCTGATAACTTATCACTGTATATATGCATGCTGCTCTTGTTGAGACATGCTGACAAATTTATGACCTGTTTATCAGGTTTTTGGTGCTCTTGCTATTGCAAAAATGTTGTGTGTTCCCATAGTGATGTCGTATCATACTCATGTCCCTGTGTAAGTGTGGTTCTGCGAAGTTAGTTGTCATTTATGCACCATATTCATGAGTCAGAAGATAGAGATTGATCCTTGTTCCATTTTTCAGATACATCCCTAGGTACACTTTTAGTTGGCTGGTGAAGCCCATGTGGATGGTCATAAGTATGTGGGACTTTTCCTTTTAACCTTTCGTCAGTGAATCACATAGCCAAATGGTTTTAGTGTCTTAGCTAACAAGTAAATATTTTTTTTTGTCAGAGTTCCTTCACCAAGCTGCTGATCTTACTCTGGTACCTTCAGCGGCCATTGGGAGGGATCTCCTAGCAGCTCAAGTGGCAGCAGGTAAAGACTTATGTTTACTGTGAAATTTATCAGACAACTTCATTTAAAATCTCTACCTTTTTGTGTGCACTTCTCTACATACTGACTGGTTTTTTTGCTTATGGGCAGCTAATAGGATTCGTCTTTGGAATAAGGGCGTTGACTCTGAGAGCTTTAACCCTCAATTCCGCTCCCATGAAATGCGAGTGAGATTAACGTAAGCCCCATGTTTTCACACCATTGTCTCAGTTAAAACCGGTTCTTCTCAGCTATCGTGCCAGTTTTAACACTGTTCTCTTGGTGGTTGCTCTAAACAGCAATGGGGAACCTGAGAAACCATTGATAGTCCACGTTGGCCGACTTGGAGTTGAGAAGAGCTTGGACTTCCTCAAAAGGTACTGTCTTTCGAAAATCCACCACCTCTTTCTCTCTATCGTTTGTTTTGCAAAGATCTACTCTGCATAATCTGCTTCCCAATTGACATTTGAGAATGAATTTGAACACCAGCGTGATGGATAGGCTTCCAGATGCTAGGATTGCGTTTGTTGGAGATGGACCGTATAGGTAACTAGTGCATATTTCTACACTCTTCAAAACTCTTTCTTCCAGCCACTTGTGTTTCTCACTTGATGAATGGAATTTTTTTGCAGACCGGAGCTGGAAGAGTTGTTTAAAGGGATGCCAGCTGTATTCACTGGAATGTTGGGAGGAGAGGAACTCTCCCAAGCTTATGCAAGTGGAGACGTGTTTGTGATGCCTTCTGAATCCGAGACGCTGGGGCTGGTGGTTCTGGAGGCCATGTCTTCAGGAATCCCTGTGGTCGGGGTTCGAGCTGGTGGCATTCCAGACATAATCCCACCGGAGCTGGAAGGAAAAATCGGGTTTCTATTCAGTCCCGGGGACCTCGATGACTGCGTGGACAAGTTGGGAACTTTGCTTCATAACGAAGAACTGAGGGAGACCATGGGGAGAGCAGCACGGATAGAGATGGAGCAGTATGATTGGAGGGCTGCCACCAAGATGATCCGGAACGAGCAGTACAATGCCGCCATTTGGTTCTGGCGCAAGAAGAGAGCACTGCTTCTCAGACCTTTGCAGTGGCTGGTGAAGAGAATCTTCCCATCTCCTGAAGTTCATTATCAATGAAAGGCGCCAGTTGGGTTCGGAAGATTTAAAACTGAGAAGCGGTGTATATATGGGGGGGGGGGGGGGGGGCGAGATGCCATTGGAATCCTGTTTGTGTGAAAGATTGGTAGACCATGGAAATGGCGGGTGGTCTATTGTTGTGCAAGTGGAAATGACATGGATAGTCTTACGAATTTGTATTTGGCTTGATTTGGTTCAAAATCAGAAATTTCATATGAAAAAGAGACCGATATAGAGTTCTCTGTAACTCGTTCCACTCTCATGAGTTCATAGGTTGCGGTATACATTTGCTTATGGATTGTTATTCGTCGTCCTAAAAATTCTTATTTGTCACCCTAATTATGTTAAATTTACTATAATGTCCTTCGTTTGTTTTTCAAACACTTAAACCCTAAAACAAGTGCATACACTCACTAGCTGACGGAGCCGGCCACCTCATTGGAGGCCTAATCATCGTCATCACACATTAATTATAATTACAATGATAATGATAATCAATATTAATTAAAAAATACAACAAACGACGTGCTCAAACCCTTCTCACAAGTCGCCGGCGGGATGAATGAAAAATAAGCCAGCAACCATGAAAAGCAACTGTGGCGGGGATAAGACTCTTGTGGTAGCAACGGTGACAGGGGGAGACTCCAGGCGGCAGCAACGGTGACGGGAAGCGACTCCTGGCGGCGGGGAGTGATTCCGGCAGCAAGTCAACTCTATAGGAGCAGTTCTTTGGACGGCGGTTTTTCTCCGAGATGAGAGTTCGGTTTGGTGTTGGGGACGGATTGTTTGCTACGGTTTAGTTAGGGTTTGAAGTTGGGGGTATATGGGTCAATTTAGTGTGGTTTAGGGAATTTTTTTAAACTTTAGGGCGACGAATAGAGATTCAGATTTGCTTGGGGTAAAATTACTAAATCATGTCTTTTTTAGTCACTGGAAAAAATTAATATCAATTTTGGTCACTCGAATTACTGAAATATGTCACATTTAGCCACTCTCCGTTAGCCTCCGCCCAACTCCGTTTGAGTAATTCGAGTGATATTCATAAAAAAATGTAATTTGAGTGACCGGAGTTGGACGGAGGCTAACGGGAAAGTGATTAAATGTTACCTGTTTTAGTAATTCGAGTGAACAAAATTGATATTAATTTTTTCTAGGGACTACATATAATATGATTTAGGCTAACGGGAAAGTGATTAAATGTTACCTGTTTTAGTAATTCGAGTGAATAAAATTGATATTAATTTTTTCTAGTGACTATATATAATATGATTTACTAATCCCAATGACCAAATGTGTTATTTACCCGAAAAAAGAATGATATAGAGTTATGTATATAGGTATCAATCGGGAGGGTTCGGGCTGGGTTCAATCGGGTTTGGGTTCAAACGGGTTGCGGGTTCATCGGATTGCGGGTTTATCGGGTTCGGGTTCATCGGGTTCGGGTTTAAACGGATTGCAAGTTAATCGGGTTCGGATTCAATCAGGTTGCGGGCAAATCGGGTTGTGGGTTCATCGGGTTGCGGGTCTGGCGTGTTGCGGGCGGATCGGGTTGCGGGTTGTTCGGGTCAGTGCATCGAGTAACTTACTTCTTACTCGTTATCAACTTACACGTTTTATTACACTAATTTAAAATATTTTTCTCAATTTTTAACCAATTTCTTTCTACCTCGTATATATACTTAATATAAAAAAGGACTAGTCAAAATATCTAATAAATTTATATGACTTGCAAACCTGTTATGTAATTAATCGTAATTGGTAAAGGACACTAGCTAATAGTAATGGTTATATCAACATTTGCAACCAAAAGACACCATTAATTGTTTATTTGGTATTTTAGTATTATTTCAGTAGTAATTGGATTAAAGTATCTCGTTTAGTATAACCATGAAAATCTGGTATTTGGCAAAAGCAGAGTGGTTAAAGGAGTTATTTCGAAATAAGACATTGCTCTAATAACTTCAGTAAACTGTTGCCAAACGAGTATTTTGTAAAATTGTTGGAATAACCCTAAAAATTGAACGTTTGAAGATTAACTATCAAATTTAGTAAAATTGTTGTGACTTCAATCATAACTTACTCAATAACATATATCCTATACACTTAGCCTTACCTTCAATCGACAATATTAAGTTAATATATGTTGTTGATCGTATACCCTAAACCATCAATACATTATACACTAACAACTTACCCTATACCCTAACCATATATGATATATCCCTATGAGTTGTGATTTTGCTAGTATAGTTAATTTAAGGGCTAATACCATTAAAAATACCATCCTCTAGAGAAAGTGCCATTTATATTACATCGTTTTCGAAAACACAAAAATATTCCAATCTATTAAAGGTTTGTGTCATTTGTGTTACGCGAATTTATGTTGACCGTTAGAATTGACGGTTGACCTGATGGTGGCCCACTTTGTGTCCACGTAGGCGACACGTTGATGCCACGTTGGAAAAAATGCTTAAAAATGCTTAAAAATACTTTTTATTAATTATTTATTAATCTATTACAAAATAAATATTCTTTTAAGTTATAACCCCACCCACCCTATCTTCTTACAACATCGGGCCTCTACCCCCCAAGCCCCAACTCGACGGACGAACGGAGGTTCTCTCCTGCACCTGCGTTCCAAACGACGACAGCGGCGGTGACTGTGCTGACGAAGCTTTGGACGGCGGCGAAGCTGGAGCTTAGGAAGGCGGTCGTGGCTGTACATCTTTTGCGGTCGAGCTTTGGAAGGCGGCGGTGAGTTTGGATTAGGCGGAGGTCGTGACACAACAAAAAACGAAGCAGGTCAATTGAAGGGTGGAAGAGTGGTCGTAACTAAGGGTAAGTAAGTCGAAATAGTCTTGATTACAACCCATTCCATAAGATTCAACTTTATTGAACGAATTTTTTTCAATTGTGGTGCGAATGAAACCCTAATTTTTTATAACAGTTGGTTTGGTGACCATCACCACCATGTTTGAGCGAAGATCTAACCACAGCAAAGCATAATCAAGTTCTGCAACTCATATATAGTGAAGTGCAGATGCAATGTACCGGCTATTGTAAATGTATCTGGGACAACAGATAATCCAGGGAGGGAGTTTTACTGTTGCCCGTATTGGAAGAACATTGATAAGAGTTGTAGGTTTTTTCAATGGGTTGATCGGCTATCGACGATGGACGACGATTCGAAGATGAAGCTCGTTGCTATTTTGGAAGAGAGATTGAAGGCGGTAGAAGCTAAGGCAGAACGAAGGAAGAAGGAAAAACAAGTGCTATATTCTGAGTTGGTCAAGACTAGGGATGAAAATGCTAGGCTGACTACAATTGTTTATTTTTTAGCAGGTTTACTGATCAGTCTTATTGGTTGCTATTGTTGGTTGAAGTGAGTAAGCTGTATGAAGTTGATGATGTTTGCTGACATTGGAATGAAGTTCATTTTTAGTCGATGTTGTTTGTTGCCAATGTTTGAAGTTTCTATTGTAGTTGACATTGTATGAACTTAATGACTCAATTCGGGAAGTTTTAGCATGATGTTTGTGCAATATAGTAGAACGTAGACCTGAAAAGATCATTCCAACCATACAATACTTCGCATATATCCGATCTACCAGAGTCTTAGTAACTAGCAAAAGCATATGAAGAGCTAATTAAGTTTGCTCTTCAAACTGGAAGAGTCTACTCCTAACAAAAGCATAGTACTCCTAACAAGGTAACATACATAGTGCCATAACAAAAGCATAAGCAAAGTCTATTGTTTCCTCACATAAGCATAGTACTCCTAACTGTGCAAACCACATATCTGTCCTATACTTATAGAAATCACATGGCATTAATCTTGGGTTGCTGGTGGCTGGGAACTGCCTGCTTGGTCAATCACAGCAGCTCCTCCTCCATTGTGTGCACCTCTAGTGGCTCTGCCTCTGCCTCTACCACCTCTTGCAGATCTGCCCCCACCTCCTGCATTCCTGCCTCCTGTATTCCTGCCTCTTGTAGCTCTTCCTGTTGCATGCATCTAATAACAACATATAATCAATAGTTCGTCCTTCACATTTATGCTAAAAACTCTCAAACAGACATTACCATTGCATTGACTTCATCATCCATAGCTGGATTCTTCCTTGGTCTGCCATGTGGCCTGCGTTCTCGTGGTTGCTGCATGTTGACAGTGTAAGTCTCGCATATGTTACTTTCTACAGCATCATACTTACAGTCATGGTACATGAATGCCCTACAGAACTTCTCGGGCTGCTGGTCCATGAAATCCTTCAACAAAGTGGGGTCTTCTCCGCTATTTTGAATAGCTTCCATTCTGCTTGTCACGGCTTGAAACGCTGCAAAGTTGGTTGCATACACAGCACCCCAGTACAGATTTCGGAAGGTTTGTCCCCTGTGTTTTGGCTTCCCGTTTGCAAAAACATGTCTCGCACACTTCCTGTGGTGTGCATGGGGCATAATCCTTGCAAGAGCTTCTAGCAGACCCTACATACAATAAGAAAGTTAGCAGACATACAATAAGAACTCAAGATGTGAATAAAACAGAAAATTAGATACTACCTTCTGCTGGTCGCTTACAACAGTCCACCCTTTGCCATCTCCAGTCACCAACTCCTCTTGCAACACACTAATAAACCATCCCCGTGAATCTGAGTCCTCCCCTTCTACAATTGTCCAAGCGATGGGATACATACGATTGTCCCCATCCTTGGCAACGGCGGACAAAATCATCCCATTCACCTCGCCTTTCATAAACGCTCCATCAAGAGAGAATATGGGCCGACACCCCTCAAGAAACCCTTTCCTGAGCATTGAGAAGCCCACATACAACCTTTTGAATAAGACCCTATTTGCAATGGAACAAGGGTCCACTTCCAATATAAAACGACCACTGGATCAACACGCTTCAGTTCAGCAACATAAGGCCGCAGCTTCTTATATTCCTCAATTAGAGAACCTCCCAATAGCCTCTTTGCATACAACCGTGCCCTATAACACTGTCGTCTGGACAATTCTACATTGTTAGTCTCCCTTATCTACCTCTGCATATGTTTCACTTCCCAATTCGGGTTGATTTGAAACCTCCCAATGTAGCGCTTGGCAGCCCAAATGACATTGGCCCCCTTCAGTCTAAGGGCACGTGGGCAAGAGTGCCTCGGCCCTACATTCTTCACCATGAAGCACTGTCGCCCTCCATGCCAACTTCCATACACATACCACCCATAATTTTGCCTACACACTGACCTCTTCTTCTTATCCGTACTGATGTTCAACTTGATACCAGCTCCTATCGAGATGCAATAATCAGACACGGCCTCTTTAAATTGCGCGCCTGTCTCAAATTTCAGACCAGCCACGATATTCAACTGTGAAGGCTCCCCATGTGAATTGTAAATAACCCCATCGTCCTCATCATAGTTAAGGCCTGATGAGTGTCTGTATTGTGACTCCGGAACACTCCTCGAATTTTCTCCAGCCTCAACCTCTTCTGCAGATAGGAATTGAGCATCATGCTCCA